AATCGAGTCGAGGCGGTTGGGATAAAGATTTTTCGCGAGAACACACTCGAGCGAGCGCTCGAAAAATCCTCAATTAAGACGTGGAGGAGTCGGTGGAGTGGAACGGAGTCAGCTGTTACTTGTACTCCTCCTTTAAAAAATGATAACCAGAGAGCGGGGGATCGTGCTCGTCTGGTTTCACCTCGTTATTTTATTAAGCTTATTTTACCGACGGTCTTTACTCTTATTTGTCCACTCTTATTTACTTAAAACCACCACCGGCTTTCCCTACCCCACTCCAGCTCTCTATTTCAACTTGGCTTGAAAAAGGTTGAGTCGTTTTCGACCAGCGGCTCGAGATATCGCAAAGATCTCTCTCGGGTTTAATCAGAACCCTTTTATAAATGCAGCAGGACTTCGTTAAAGTAATCCGCGGATCCGAATGTATCGCTTGGCCCGATCTTGCTCCTCCTCCCTCCTCGAGGTACGAGCTCGTTTCTTTCAACCTTCTTTCGGTTTTCTTCGCCAACGACTACTTTCTGATCTCGTTCGAGAAACCCGATTTTATCCGATTGCGCATGCATTTAAATTGTCAAAACTTGGGCAACTGGAGGGGTGCCAGTTCCTGGCTGACGTCGCTGCCGTTATTTCGGATGGAAACTGTTTCCATCCTTAACAAATTCCTTCGAACGTGGATAATGGACGAGTACGTATCACCGCAAATTAGAGAGAAGAGGATTAATTTTTGAAATTGAACTCCTCTTCGATTATTGAACAGAATAGAAACAATCGAAGATATTTTTCACTTGTCACGCGAATAACGTGAAAGAATTGATCTTCCTTTCGAAATCTCGCGGATAGAGAAGAATTTTAATTTCCGTCATCTTATCTACAGTGGTATCTCCTTAATTCCTACATTTAACTCGGCATAATTGATATGACGGCTCATTCGTTTGGTTTAGCAGGGGTAATCAACTAACCCCGCCATTAAATTTCCGTTAAGACCGAGCAGAGAAATAGGTATAGCGGAATTCGAAATGGCCATACGCCGGGTAGACCGTGTCGAGTATTCGTCACTGTTCCACTCGACACTGAACTCGAATTGAGATTGTTTCGCGAATCCCGGAGTTTCCGTAAGCCGAGAAACTACGATTCTCCGGTTAACATTAATCTCAAGCAACCAATGTATATCCGAGAGAAGAACCTCGAGAAAAGTGTGATCGATGTATCTCGATGCTACGGAATTTTTTTCGAATATCAAATACTGTAATATTTTTGAACACTTTTAACAATTGCGAAACGAAGAAAGGGATCGAGAAAGTTTATTGAAAAATTACTCGTCTCGATCTTCTATCTCTCTATATATATAAGTAAAAATATTATTTGCGTATTAACGAAAAATACTAAGGGAGCAGAGACTAATTCGTTGCGTTCCTGCTGCTTTTCGTTGCGACCGTACATCGTTCCATCGTTGTTCACCAACTGTAATCTTTCCAACTTGGCCGATCGTAAAACGTCCCGGAATGGAAAGTTCCGCTCGTAAAACTTTTTTCGAAACGGTCAGGCAGAGGGTACAACTTTTCGCCTCGGCCAACTAATAGCGCGAAGTAATTCCTTCCGCTCCTTTTCCGCTCCTCGCTTATTTACCGCGCGTGCAATCAGAGAGGCGTATCTTCCGGTTGGGGCGAAAAGTTTTGGAGCCGCGGCCGAAACGAAAACGCGAACCGATTGCCGGCCAACCAGAAACCGTGCCCGCTGTGAACTTCATTTCCACATTGCCGCGACCATTTTGTGGCGGTCGGTTGTGCGGCTACACCGAGCAATGGCCCCGACAAAAAAGCAATTTTCCACGGCGAGGCAAAATTTAATCTGTCCCGTTCACCCCTGCCCTTCTTTTTCATAAACTGTCCGTTTCTCTGGGAATAAAAATTTCAAGTTTTTTCCCCCTTTTTTTCTTTCTTTTTTTTTTTTTTTTTCCGTTCCCAACGAACGA